TAAAAAATTAACCCTTCATTTAGCTTGAACCGTGGAATATCTAAAGCAAGAATTTGAAAATAAAACAGCAGCAACATTCCCAAATGAAGTTCTGAGCTAGTGCATCAATTTACTCGGTTTTAGAAACCCTAATTACTCATCAGATCGAAAGAAACTCAAGAAATACGTAAATAAATGAAGAATATTTTAGACATAGAAGAGAAAAAATAGTGAATCGAAGACGGAGAAAGGAATACTCACAGCCATTGTAGCCGAAATAGGTATTCCGAACTTCGCTTTGCCTCAGAGATTTCGAACTTCGCTTTGCCTGAGTCTAGGGTTTGCCTCTGCTACTAAGTACTAACGGAAGGGATAGCCGAAATAGGGTTTGCATTTGCTTTTATGTTTTCTTCGGGCATGGGCACACATAACCGGAGCTAGTATTGGGTCACTGATTAAAAAAAAAAGAAGGTTAAATGCTAAATTTGATCCCTCAACGTTATAAAGTTGCATTTTTTGATCCCTCAATAATGTTTTACACTTTTTTAATCCTTTAACTCTAAAAAATGCACAACATTAGTCCTTCTATCAATTTAGGCCGTTAAGTCTACTCATGTGGCATTTTTTATAGTTTGTTTGATGACATGTTAATGATACGAAGAAAACAACTTAAAAAGATACTAATATGGACAAAACATTATGCCACGTAATATTATCACAAATCAATCGCACTAAAACTTGCAAAGAACTATGAAGCCTAAAATGCTCCAAAGCAAAATTTGAGTTCTCTGTTATCGAACCTAGTTACTGGTTTCATTAAAGCCACTGAGTTTATCAAGGCAATAGATCTCATCAAATCAAATTAACCCTTCATAAACAATACCAATCAAACTATAATCCAATTCCAACAAAAATGCAATCAAACTCTAATCCAATTCCAACAAAAATGCAATCAAATTGTAAATCAACTCCCAAATTTATCAAGAATTGAAAATGAAAATTGAAAAAAGAATGAAAATACATAAACCCAGTGTCGAAACCCAGCCTTCTGGTCGCACGAACCCAACAGCTGGGTTCATCTTGCTCGAACCCAGATCTATGAGGTTTTCTTCATTTTACTCAAACCCAGATCTACAAGGTTTTGTTCATCTTGCTTGAACCCAGATCTTGCTTGAACCCAAATTTTAGAAGAAAAGTCCAACAAAGGATAGGAGGGGAAGGGATGAAAAGTTGGCACCAGAAAAAGGAAAAGAGAAGGAGAAGCTACCAGAGACAAGGAGAGGGAGGGAGAAGTTGTCGAAGTTTAGAGTTAATGAATAAAGGGGAGAAAAGAGGAAATCAGGGGGAAGAAGGTGAAGTTAAGGGCATTTATGTAATTTTGAAGTTCTTATTATTTATTAAATGAAGTGGGTAGAGTTTATTTACAACGTGACATAAGTTTTAGTCCAAATAAGCATTTTTTTTCCACTTGTATTATCCATGTCATCAAACAAAATATAAAAAATGCCACATAAGTGGACCTAACGGCCGAAATTGACAAAGGATTAACGTTATGCATTTTTTAGAGTTGAGGAATCAAAAAAGTGTAGAAAATTATTGAGGGATCAAAAAAATGTAACTCTATAAAATTGAGGAACCAAATTTAACATTTAACCTAAAAAAAAAAAAAGAAGACTATACAGAGGCCTTGCACTTGAGCCAGCCATCACTACTTTGGGTTACATTTTATGATTGTGACCCAACAACATTTTTTTTTTTTTGTTTTGACCCATCAACTTTTTATTTGAATAATTTTCGGCCTCGATAGTAGTATTGCGGCCCAACCACATGTTTTTGTTGATTTTGGCCCAATAACTATTTTTGATTCTTTTACTGTACATTTGAGTTGGATGGAATGGAGGATAGAAGAAAAAAATTCTTTATTTAATTATTAAAAAATTGGAGGGGATGAGAAGGGAAATTTTTTTTATTTTTTTTTTTAAATTTAATTATTTATCCAAATAAAAAAAAAAAGAATGGGAGAATATAATTCCCCCATCTTTATTTCGCTTAACCCAAATATAAGGTTATAGCTTATACAAATATTAAATTAATTTTAATATGTTAAATAATAAATATTAACCATATTTAATAAATTATTAATTATTTCTAACAATTAAATTAAAATAAAATTTTGATAATTTTAGTGATCACAACAAATTAGTACGGCAACAATAACCATATCTACATAGCATACATAAGTTCTCTTGTTCTCTCTTTTCCATTTTCTTTTTCTTTTTCTTTTTGTTTTATTTCCACCTATTTGACGACTTACATATGAGACTTCTAACATCTGCTTTTCAAGGTATAAGAAGTAAAATAACGAAAGGATCAATCTAAACCCTATTTTGAAAATCTCAATCGCATGGTCCATAAACTTTAATTTTAACCGGAGCTCGGAAGTTTTCTATATGTGTGTATATATATATATACACGTATGTCCCAACCTTTTATGGTTGTTTTATGACTGACACTGAGGGTGTTCGCAGTGTGGTTTGATTTGGATTTTAATATTTTTTAAATAAATTCATCCATTATTATATAATAACCAAATCAAACCAATCCAATTTAAATTAGATCGATGTGGTTCAGTTGGTTTGATCGGTTTTAAACAATATTAAATATATGAGATAATATAAAAATTTTTAATATTAAGTAAAAAACATAACTATAAAATAAATTAATATCCAAATTACTAGAAGCATAATAAAATGCACAAATTATAAGTAAGTTCTTATATTCATTTACTATTGTAAAGATTGAAAAGATTGAAAATTTTTTTTTGGCTAAATCACCAAAGGCACTAAGGATAATAAAAAATGATTTTAAATTTTAAATACAGCATAAGTAATTTTTAAATATTAAAATTAGTTTTTTTTCCTTAATGCACCAAATGATTCAATCCCATTTTTTAAACCCTGTTAAAAGCAAATAAAATTTAATATGAATGTCATTATGAATGATTAGAAGCATTCATAATTAAGATTTAAAACTCCTCAACTAAACATCCAAGAATAGTAAAATATCAAAATTAGTTTTATTATATAATTTTAAGACTTCTAGAATGATATTTCTTAAAATTTAGTCAGGAAAATCAAAATATTATTTTAAAACCAAATTAAAAATTTAGAGTTCTAATAGTAGAGTCATAGAGCAATCTTAAGAAATAGAGTTACAGACGAATTGAAAATTTAGAATTAAGGTTAGAGTGCACGATTTAAAAAGAAAAATAAATTAAAAAATATGTGAATATTTTATTTTTATTTTTTAATTGAGTTAATGGAGTTATCATCTTATAAAATAAGAAAAAAATTTAAAATATTACAAAAATACACTATATTATTTAATTAAGTTATCTTATAATCGAATTTTATTTTGTAATCCGACGGTTCTAGTAGTTTGAAGGTAAAATCACAAACCAAATCAATTATATTAGTTTTAAATTTTTAAAATTCAAATCAATTCAATTTTATATCGATTTGG